CAGGCGCCTGTAGTCCCAGCTACTCGGGAGGCTGAGGCAAGAGAATTGCCTAAGCCCAGGAGTTGGAGGTTGCTGTGAGCTGTGACGTCATAGCATTCTACGGATGGCAATAAAGTGAGACTTTGTCTCTAAAAAAAGAAAAAAAAAGTTTCTTAGATATGAAGGTCTCCCTATTTTGCCAGGCTGGTCTTGAACTCCTAGCCTAAAGGGATCCTTCAGCTTTAGCTACCTGAGTAGCTGGACTACAGGCATGAGCTACTGTTCCTGGCTTCATTAGCATTTTAAAGGATTTCCCCTCCCCAACATAAAATCTTGAGGGAAAATATCAAAGCTATTCAGGCAGTGAAACTGTAGTGGTCTTTGACACTATTCTCTCAGTTCCCTGTCATCCAGTCAGCTAAATTTTAAGATTATATTCTTCAGATCACTTCCCTCTTATTCCTTGGCAATCAATATCCTGGACTAAAACATTTTCCTAACTGGCTTTCCTTCCTGAAATCTATCCCCACTGTAGTCCTTCCTGATTTGTTTAGTCTTTAGTGGCTCTCCACTCTTGACCAAATTAAGTTCTGGCTCTCATCAGTGTGGAGCCAGCCTACTTTCCAGCTTTCCTACTTCTTTGCTTTATATGTGCAACCTCATTCTTTTCTAATGCAGGCAACAGAGACCACCTTTCCTGCGCTTATCTCATCTATTAAAATCATACTCATTCACAGCCTGGGTTAGGTAGGGCTGGGGATAACAAAGGCCAGGGGCTTTTGAGTTACTAAGATTAAGTGCTCTCATGGTATGAAGCAAATAACACTCGCTAAGTTTTTGGCACAGACACCTCCCCTTTCCATCCCATTAACATTTGTTGTTTCCATAAATTCTAAAATTCACACATTTGTAGTTTATGTAAAAATTTATTTGACCAAAATGTAGAAAAAGTGATAGTATTACATATGATACAGTCGCAGGAATCTAAAGAAAAATGTGGATTTTATTCAATTGCACAATTTACTAGTGTATCTCCTGGGTAGTGTGGTGCTTAATAAATAGGAGTGAGGGGGAAGGGATTCAGATAAGCTAGAAGCAGGGTGATTTTTAATCAGACCTGTAAACTTGATTTAGCCCCCACACTGTTGGGGAATGTGGAATGTTTCAGCTCTGAGATGTTAACTGAGAAAACAGAAATATAACAAAGCCAAAATGTGCAGCCTTGCCTACAAAATACTCCATATCCAGTTTAATCAGGAGTTTCTTGGTCTTCTTTTAATTTGGTTCCAAAAAAGGAATCAAATAAGTAAATCTTCAGTATGCCATTCTCTGAAGTATGAAAATGAAGTTAGGCCAATTACATTTTTATCTCTGCTTTGGTGCCAGAGAGGCCCTTTCTGCTAATAGGAAAAAAACTCTTTGCTCAGTTTATTGATAGCAATCAATCTTCTTGATATGGCTGACCCAAATAGGACTGAACGCCATATTTCTGCTGAGTGGATGGCTTTATATCAGAGCAGAAAAACATGAATCATTATTGGACTAAGATTCTTGCTCTTCAGAGAACAACATTTGAATGAAAGGAGTATGTAGAACTACATAACACCAAAGATCTATCCAGAAAATATTTGGGTAATTATTAAGACTATTTCCCAGGCATTCTTAAGCTGGGTGCTCAAGAGAATGTTTGCTCTGCACAGTAGAGTGTAGAGAAGGACCAGAATGATTAGGTTAATCTAGCTGCGGTTTATGACTTCTCACAACAGCCCTCCCCTTGTTTTTTTTTTGGCTCTGGATGGAAAATCCCCACTCGTGTGATTGTCCCTCGCCTCCTGTAGTTTGACCAGCAGTGACCCAGAAGGTTATATTCTTCAGTGTTTTAAATTGATCCATGAGTAGAAATTGGATTCTGTGTTCTTGAAAGTGTGGGGCTATTCTTCCTGGAACCAAATGCCCTCAGTCTTAAGAGAGTATGCTCAATATGAAATACCCTGCCTACCTTAGTAATAAATGCAATTAAGGAAAATAAAAAAAATGAGCCAAAAAAGCTGGTGCCATTTGAAAAAAGGAAGGAATTAGATTTAACTGGTGCTCAAAGCTTCTCTGATACAAAATATTTGGTCATGTATTCATAATTTGCTTGACATTTCCAGCAAAGTGAAGATGCAATAATAAAAGAAACTTCTTACAAGAGAAGAGACATGGAGTTCTGGAGTTCAGTTGAAACAAGACTTCTGTTTGGTTATATACAATTAAGTTCGTTTAGTGTCTGATCCAGTGTCTGATGTAAGCCCACGTTCTCTTCTTTGGCCTGGGCAAGTTTTTCTGGTGAGGATTAAGAGCGGAGGGGAGATAAATTAATAAGCATGTTAAAGGAAGAAAAAAAAAAGTTTCTAAACCTCAGAGTGCCACAGTGAAAGTCACCGCAGAGAAAGTACTTTGTATTTTATTTATAGCAGAACACCATGGGGCAATAGGGACCAAGCACCTATTGAGTCAAGATTTCAAGATAAAATACAGGATGCTTAAAGTGAATTTCAGATAACACCCTAATAATTTTTTTGAGACAGAGTCTCAAGCTTTCGCCCTGGGTAGAGTGCTATGGCGTCACAGCCCACAGCAACCTCAGATTCTTGGGCTTAAGTGATTCTCTTGCCTCAGGCTTCCAAGTAGGCTGCTGGACTACTGGCGCCCACCACAATGCCTGGCTATTTTTTGGTTATAGCTGTTATTGTTGTTTGGCAGGCCCAGGCTGAATTAGAACCTGCCAGCTCCAGTGTATGTGGCTAGCACCCTAGCTGGTGAGCTACAGCTGCCAAGACCCTAATAATATTTTAGTATAAGTATATCCCAAATGTTGAATGAAATATTCTTATGCCAAAAAAATTATTCATCACCTATCTGGTATTCAAATTCAACTTAATGTTCTATATTTTTATTTGCTAAATCTATCAAGTCTAGAGTCAGAATACCTGAATGTAAGTCCCAGTTTTACTACTGAAATAAGCTGTTTAATCTTTCTAGGTCTCAGTTTTATAGTATGTCAAATGGGGATAATAATAACCTCTGTATGCTGTGGAATAAATGGGAGTTGCTTCGGAACCTATGACTTGCTACACAAACGTAAGATTTTAGTCCTAGATATAGGTGACGTAATACACTATCTCCCTGGTACCAGTTAATTAGTCCCTACGCCATTGGAAGGAAAATGTTATCCAGTAACCCATCTTTCCTTTGGAGATTCTGGGAGTGGCTGTTTAAATTCCAAGCACAGTTGTGTTATTGTGTCTGTGTATCTATAGCAATGCAGTCAAACCCCAGGTACCCAGGTAAATGCAACGTGACTGAAATTTAAGCCAGACTTACTGGCATACATATTATTAAATGGTTGAGCTGATGAAACAAATTTTTTTTTTAAAAAGATGCCATTTAGAGCTATGCATGAAAACACGAGAAAAGAACTGGTTTGTAATGAGTGATGGCTGATTAAGGGTAAGGCCAAAACTCATTAAAATACTGGAGGAAAGCAAAATGCCTCATAATATGTATAACCAGCCTGGAAATTTTTAAGAAAGAAAAATCACTGCAGAAATGGCATATTATAACTACTGAACCTTTCCTTTGACAAACCTCTGAAAAAAAATCAAGTGACTGACCTGGATCTATCAGGTCTATCTAGTCTGGGTGAATAAATATTAACTGAATGCTGACTATGTAAGAGTCAATTTCTCCTTTATCTCAGTTAATCCCCAGAATTAACTGAGGAAGCTTTGCAGGAAAGCTTATTTAGGGTTGCATGGCTAAAGTAGTAGAGCTAGGATTCAAACCCTGGTCTCTCAACTACAAGTCCTGACCTTACTTTACCATGTCACCTGGATTCCCTGGCATCTATTTTGTTATTAGGTCTTAGATAAAATTACTTTCCCTTAAGGTGTTAATTGCCCTTGAGAATTGTGACAAGGCTCACAGACTATCAATAACATAGTAGTGTAACGCCATAGCATTATTCTCTGAAATTCCATTTAGGTGCTTAGTTATATAGAATGACTGGATAGCCAGTCTGCATAGTTATTTCAAAGGGTGGAGGCTACAAATGTCCGGAAAAACCCTGGGAACAAATACAAAGAGAGAGCAAATAAAAAGTAGCCTTCTACATAGTCTGTAATCTTTCCAAGAGGATATTTGAGGCAATGTGTAAAGGGAATGGTTTTCTGTTTTCTGTTTTTTATTTTTTTGAAACAGTCTTACTGTTGCCCTGGGTAGAGTGTCATGGTGTCATCATAACTCACAGCAACCTCCAACTCTTGGGCTCAAGTAATTCTCTTGCCTCAGTTTTTCTATTTTTGATAGAGACGGGGGTCTCACTTTTTGCTCAGGCTGGTCTCGAACTTGTGAGCTCAAGCAATTCTCCCGCCTCAGCCTTCCAGAGTGCTAGATTATAGGCACGAGCCACCTTGCCTCGCCAGGGGAATGGTTTTTATAAAAGTTCAGGATGAGTGGCAGTTAGGAACAGAGAGAGGCTAGAGGTGAAAAAGTGTAGGTAGCTAAGGGGAGATGTATTTTGGAGGAGTGAATATTAACAGTTGAGACAGATCTTCCCACCTGAATTAAAAAATTATAGGACGAGGACTAACAAGTTATAGTGACCAAAATTGATGATTTAATTGTAGATTTTTGCGCCAACGCCAGGTTCAAAGGGGAGTTTGGTAGATGTGGGTTGGAGATCTAAATGTCAGTGTTTGCAGGATAATTTGAGGTGGTAGTGGTGAGAAGCAGGAGAGAATTGGATGGACTATTTGAAATTTGAATTTTCTTGGGAAAAATCTGTGGTTTTGATCACTAAAAGTATGACCTTTTAATACCCACAGGCCAACCTTATGAGATGTTACTAAAGCAAGGTTCCTGGTTATAGTTAAGTATGAGGGGAGATAGATGTTAGCACCTAGGACAACTTTGTTTGGAACTCAGGAAAAAATCACCTCACTTCTTTTCTTTGACATCATAGCAGTTTTTACTCCCTTTCCCTGTCTATGGGATGCTCTAAATCCTGTACAGTGAGTTTCTTCACTGGTGAACTTCCTGCCAGGACTGAGGGATGAATGTTTCATGAACAATGAAGACATGGAAAATCCCATTCTCAGAGTATAACACAGAGAACAAATGAGAAAAGGAAGAATAAGGAGACCAAAGTGCCACTGCCGCTATTTGAATACATAGCTCAAACCCTTTTCCAGGGTAGCCTCATTTAGACCCAGGCTTGCTAGTTTTTGCAAATACTGCTGATTCTTAAGCTGCTTAAGAGGTCTCCATTCAAACAATTTCTATTTAAGGAAAAACTATTGGCATGCAGATGTAGTTAGCTAACACCCATTTGAGAGCACATGCCAACTTACTTTTGTTTTTACCTCTTCAGAAAAGAATCATGTAGGCATAACTTTTCTTTTTTGTAATGGGCTCTTCATTTGTGAGAGAAGGCTAACCACTCACTTTTTGTTCCAGCCACAGACAAGGGCGTATAGCTATGGCTCAAAGGCGGCAAGTGGAGAAAATGAAAATGAGAGGGCATGAAGATCAGGATTGCCTATTTTTATTTCAGACAAAGTCACAGACACATCAGAAGAAGGCTTGAAAGATCAAACCAGGAGGCAGGCAACTGGAGTTCCTAGAAGCCCATGGGAGTGTAGGCACCACAGTGAGAAGGCAGACTTCAGTATTGCTAGGACAGAAGGCAGCATCCCAGCTGCCTCTCAGAGAGAGGTCATGTCGTTGAGAGCATGGTCCAGCTCTTCGCTGATAGCTTTGTACTTGAGCTTCTGAGCATATAACTCATCTAGAGGGTGGAGGTCCCCGGGGTGAGAGGTACAGAAGAGGTACAGGGTATAGATCATGAGGTTCAGAATGGAGTGCCACAGATGAACAAGAAAGGAAAACAAAAGTGAGAAAACAAAGCATGAACTAGAAGAAAGTTGCATTCTGTGTAAAACAAAGGAAAAAACCAAAAGATTTACAGAGTGAGTTCTAAGTGTTCTGAGGTTCTATAGGGGATTAGCCATAATGAACCTTTAGAACAGTAGTGACTAGGAAAGGATAGAGCTTCCCCCCACCACTAACCCCTTGATCCCTTTATTTCTGACTTCTAGTGATGTTACCCAGGCCAAAGGTTGTACTTTGGAATTGGGCATTTTTTCTTATATAGAAATTTCACTTTCCAAACCAAACACTGGGGCACATGGCCTTAAGAATGAGTTTTTGCACCCTTTCTGAGTGGGATAGAATGTTTGAGAGACTTCATTTGAACCTCAAGATCCTGGAATTTTCAGGCTATATCATAAAGAACAAGGGATAGAATTTTTAAAATTGGACTTCTTCAAGAAAATCTGGAATATTTAGGTACTAGATTTGCAGACTAGAGTCTATTCAGGTCTCTACATTCTCTATATTTGTTTTCTCATCTTGTGATAAGCTTTGAGCTCTCTGGGAGAGAACTTCTGTAAAAATGTAAGGCATTTTAAAAAATGCCAGGCATCTCTTAGAAATGAGCAAACTGAAGGACATTCTAAAGACTTTTATTTTTAAATCAGAGAGCCATATTTGGGTCTCTGGTACTCACATGTGGACCTAATTAAGCAGAGATATTTTACTTCCTGAAAATGGCAACTCAAGTCTGAATTTGATTTGCACTGTCCTATTCCAGTGCGCCAGATGTGATATCACTTTGCACTTTCCTAAGGTGAGCAAAACCCAACTCTACCACTCCACAGATATCCCCAGCTGATTGTGGATGTTTCAGAGAGGAACCACAAACATATTTAGATGGTAATTTCATACCTTCCAGGTCATCAATTGTCTTTTCCAGTTTTGCAACTGTTCTCTCTGCAAATTCAGCACGGGTCTCAGCCTAAAGAAGAAGAAAGGAGTTACAATCATTTTTCCAAGAGCAGCCCCAGGAGAAACCTGAATTAGATAGGTTAATCACACTCACCTCTTTCAGTTTATCAGAAAGAAGTTTAATTTCTTCTTCATATTTGTCCTCCTTTTCAGAATACTATGGGAGAAACCAAAACACTGCTTTAAGAAGAAAAAAAGCATAAACGAAGGCAGGCTCCCTATTTCTTGGAGAAAAGTGTGTGTACAAAGCATTATAAACATGACTAAGAAGCAAAGTAGAGGCAGGGACCTTTCTAAAAGGAAGAAATATGTGTGAAACACAGAATCTTCAGGAGAGCCTTCTAGAACTTGAGAGACAAGTACAATGAAGATGGGGCAAACAAATGGCAATGGATGCCATTCAAAGCCCTTTGTAGTAGTTGGCCCAGTGTTTCTAACCCCTTTTCCCACCAATTTCCCTACGGTGCTAGCCACTCCCTGCATATAGACTCCTATCTCTAAGGCTTTGTCTATGAATGTGTCTTTTAGCACAGAATATTCATTTCCCCCATGACTACCTATCAGAAATTATATTTGTCTTTCCAAGCTCAACTCAGATTAGTATTAACTAATATTTGTTAACTGCTTGCCATGGTCCAGATACAATCAATGGTATTATAGTTAAATGTCCTTAATCCCATTTTATAGATGGAGAAAGGGTCACAGAAAAGTTATCTAAGGTCACTTGGTTATTAAGCGACAAAGCCAAGACTGGAGCCTGACTCTGGAGTTTGTGCTCCCATCAATCACCTCCTCTCCTCAGTAACACCTTTCCCAAATTTCTATGATCTATCTATTGTAGTCCTAAAGCAACTTAGTCAATCTCTTCCACTTGATTAGACTCTCGGCTCTTTAAGAGCAGAAGCCAGAGTAGAGTCAACAAAAGCTATGATGTACTTTAAATAACTGGAAGAGTGGAATTGGGACGTTCCTAACAACGAAATGATAAATGCTTGAGGTGACAAATACCCTAATTACCCTGATTTGATTAATACACATTGTATACCTGTACCAAAACATCACATGTACCTTATAAATATATACAACCATAATGTACCCATAATAATTAAAAATTTAAAAAAAATTTGTAAAAAGCCATATATAATCATAACACTTACTCTTTTGGCTTTGGGCACTGTTTGGCTTACACGCGGGCTGCATTTATTCCTTACATACCCTGGTATCAGATATATACCAGGCACAATGCAAGTACTAGGGACATATCTCTTAACAGGACAGATATGGTCTCTGTCCTTAAAAACTTGCCATTTAGCAATAAAGGCATGAAATTAATAGGGTAGTTATAATAAATGTGATAAACAGTAGTGATAAGAAGCAGAAGGACCACACAGTAAGGAACACCTAATCTAGATGCTAAATCAGTAAAGGAGTGATGTTTAAGCAAAGGCCTACAGAACTAATGGAGGTTTATCGAACAAAGGGCAAAGGGAAGGTTATGTAAGGCTAAGGGAATAGCCGTTTCAAAGAACTATAGGTGATGGAAGAGCTTGGAATGTCTGTGAAACTGAAGTTCAGTGCAACTGCAGGGAAGTAGGAGTGGGAGTGAGGAAGAGATGAGGTGTGTACATAGCTCCTGATGCAGCTGTCACGTAACAACTGTTTTTGGGTACTGTTTTGGCCTAAAAAGCCCAATTCTATCTCTGATACTTGCTGTTCCACCTTTGAGATGGTATTTCTGGGGGAACCAGGGGATTCAGGTGAGAGACTGACTCTATATTTATATGATTATGCTCAGATTTCCCTAAGAGGAGTCTCATATCCCATCTCAATCCTTATATAAGGTGGAGATAAAAAATGCTACTAAGACACCATGGAAGAGTACTCAAGAGCCTGCGTGAGAAATCCAGCCATAGGAAAGCTCTTTCTGTGAGGAAAAACCATGGCTGCTAGGTACCAAAGCTGCTGTTAACAAATAAAGGTCAGATTCCTGATACTCTGGCTTGTGCCTGTGTACCCTGGGAGAAGAAAAGAACAATATCCAGCAAGCCACCCTCCAACTCAAGCCAACTACTAACCTTTTCAGATGCAGCCTCGAGTGATTTCAGATTGTTAGTGACATTCCTGAGTTCTTCTTCTAGGTCACCACATTTTCTGCACAAAGACAAAGGATTTTTGTGTCTTACAGTCCTTTACAGTGGGCAATTCCCCTAAAAGATGCTTTCAAAAGGAGAAACTTACACTGCTAGGGGGAGGGAGGCAGAAGGAATGTGGGGGAAAATGTTAATGGATTTTTCTGAGATGCAATGCTGTGTACTTATCAAAACCCTATCATACCAGGCAGAGGCGAGGCAGGCTGAAGAGTATTTGGAGGCCTTGTAAAGCACTCCTGGGCTTCCGCCAAGGGTGAGGTATCAGGGACTTGTGAAATCTATGATTGATGAGGCAGGCTCTGGAAGGTGTAGGAACCAGATCCAGGCCAGGAGGCTGGGAGATTGCAATCAGAGTTCACACCGGACATTCCAGGAAGCAAGCCTGGAGTGGATTTGTGAAACCAGATCTTACTTAGCAACATAGGATGCTCAGTGGAGCCAGATTCCTCATCTCCAAGACCAAGATGAGAGGTATTTTGGATTTTTTTGAGGTTGTAGGATCCTGATCAGGCTTCTCACCTTCCCCTCAAGGACGTGTCATGGCCAAACACTGACACCAAGAGCAAAACATTTAAATGGGGGCAGCCTGCCTTCTTTAGGTCAGTGTTCTGTTAAGAAGGCACATCTCCTGAGATATCTTCCCTATAATAATGGGATTTCTGGGCTTCTGTGCTACCACTTGTCTCACTCTTATTTCCCAATGTCTTTGTGGGAAGAGTCCATATATGAGCAACGCTTTCCAGGGGACTAAAAATAGTCGCCATCTCTCTGTCAGCCATGCAAACAAACAGGAGAGATGAGCCATGAGCCCTGGATGCCTGTCTACTTGAGCACTCGAGGCCCTGGTCAGTGTCGATTCCCAACATAATCAACTCCCTCCTCCTGTGCCCCAGCTCAGTCCCGTTCTGCCACTCACAGTTCAGACACCTCTGCACGTTCCTCTGCCCTTTCCAGCTCACCTTCCAGGATGACCAACTTACGAGCTACCTGTAGAGACAGAAAGGACCAACTGAGACTGATCCCCATCAGCTGCATCTACTAGGATGCCCTTTTCTAGTAGGATGCCCACCAAGGTACAGTAAGCCCCGTCCTGTCCAGACCCTCTACAGTGTGGGGCCTTCTGCTGGCTTTTCAAGTCGAATATTTCTGGAGCCTAGAGGAAATCCTAATTCACTCCTTAGGCTCCAGGAATGAGGCAGATGAAGGGGAATAAAGACTGAGTCACAGAAACAGGTAAAAGAGGGAGCGAGCTTTCATGCTCAGAAGATCCATAGCTGGAGACCATGAGCTTCAATTTTTCACCAAACTATGCCAAAACACTCAGCTGATGGACAAAAATGATTTGATCAGTTGGTTTTCCCACCAAGAGACAAGTGTCCTCAGGACTTTTGGCATGGTGGGAGATATAGTTTCATAGCCAACTGGCTGTCCTGCACAAACAGATGTGCATGCAGAAGGACTGCTGACTTAGTCAAGAGCTTCCTTTAGGCAGCCCCAGCATCCTCTCTATCAGCAGATCCATTTCCTCCTGCTTCCTGCCATGCGCCAGCTCCACTCACCTCCTCGTATTTGCGGTCAGCCTCTTCAGCGATGTGCTTGGCCTCTTTGAGCTGCAGCTCCTGAATCTCCATCTTCTCCTCATCTTTCATGGCCCGGTTTTCTATCACCTTCATTCCTCTGCAAGGAGCAACCCCGTCATCACCACCATTCACTCAAATACCTCCACCTGTATCTCATGAAAAGGTACCTCTGATCCACCATACTGCAAGATGAAAACTTTGTAGGCTGCTTGGTGCCTGTAGCACAGTGGGTACGGCGCCAACCATATACACCAAGGCTGGCGGGTTCAAATCCTGCCCGGGGCCAACTAAACAACACTGACAACTGCAACAAAAAAATAGCTTGGTGTTGTGGCGGGCACCTGCTGTCCCAGCTACTTGGGAGGCTAAGGCAAGAGAATCACTTAAGCCCGAGAGTTTGAGGTTGCTGTGAGCTGTGACGCCATCGTACTCTACCAAGGGTGACATAGTGAGACTCTGTCTCAAAAACAAACAAACAAGAAGCTCTGTAGGCCCTGCCACCATCAAGCTCACACTGACTTCATCTTTACTGATCGTTGGGCCCTGTTCTAAGCGCCTTAAACTTCATGACTGCCCTATTAAGTAGGTATTTGTCCCTATTTTACAGATGAAGAAACTGAGGTAGAGCGAGCGGTTAAGTAACTGGCTCAAGGTTATGGAGCTGCTAAGTGGCAGAGCTAGGACACTTGGCAGTCTGGCTCCAGAATCTGTGCTCCCCTTCCATACTTCACTCAATTAACTAGTAATACCTATAAGCTAATAGTGGCCACAATGTGATTCAAAGTCTGTGATAGCTGGCTGTGGAAATGCCAAGGAACAGAGATGAATTCTACTGCAGCAGGGGTTAGAGGATGGGTCACAAAAGGTTTTCTAGAAGAAGTGACATTTAATGCTAGGCATCCAAGGGTAAGAAAGAGTCCACAAATGAACAAGGAGAAAGGGTATTTTGTGATGAGGGAGAACTGGACAAGAAAGCCCTAGAGGAACGAGAGAACAGATAAGTCTGGAAACTGACAAGAGGTTCAGAGTTCGGGCTGGGTGCTTGAATGGCATACTAAGGGTGGGGGGTGGGGGGCAGAGAGGACCTGCTGATGGATTTCAAAAATAGGAGTGGAAATCAGAATGATGGACAGACTACATGGGAAGACTAGGTAAGAGGCAGGTATCAATGAGCTAAGGGATGAGGAGGGCCTGAACTAAAGTTGGAACTCTGCTACAACTCAACTGGCTGACCATGAAAGGAGTCATGAGTCATTCTGGTCTTCCCTGCCTGGAATGGATGCGGTAAGGTCAGAGACCCCCAAAGAAGAGGCCAACCTGGATAATAGAACATTGATGTGTGGTGTTCCCACCCAGAGTGGAGGATTATACACACACCCATTTGGGCTGTCATTCCCATGTTCAGCTGTCAAAAACACCCTCCACACCTGTACAAGGCCTTACTCCTCAGGATGTGAGTATGCCTGCTGGGATGTTTATTGTTTGAAAGCCTTTTGTAGTAATTAAGGGTTCAAAGTGAGTTGCCCAAAGCAAGAAATTCAAGGCAGTGGAAGGACTTGAATGTAGATGTCTAGGTCTAAGTGTAGAATTCTTTCTACTGAAACACAGCAGTCTCCAACAAAGGTGTCACCAGAGGCCTCTGGTAACATGATGCAAACAAACTATTGGCCTGCTCAGGCTCTTCTGGTTTGCCCCTAAGGAGGCCCTTGAAGTGAATATCCTGCCAGGCTGGGAACACAAGTAGCAGTTGATCCAGGCACCAGGCACAACCTCCTCATGACTGCCTTCTTCACACTTCCCCATTACCACCCTGAGCTGCCACCTTCACCCTCTACTTAGTGGCTGAAGCAGCAGAGCCTGCTCCCTCCATCTGGGCTGCTCCACTACACATGTTCCAACTTGGGCAACATGCAATCTTTAAGATTCCCTGGTAGATTTCTAATCTCTGATTAACAGTTACAACAGCACAATGAGAAATGAATCCTTTAGAGGAGTTTAAAGTGGAAAATCATGGTGGATTCTTATCAGTAAAGTGAAAACTCTGGTGTGATTGCATGGGAGATACACCAGACCACTTGGCCGGCCCACATCATTGCTGCACAAGGAACCCATTTACTACCACACAGAGACCGCTGCTTCTGTGAATTACACAATCTACCCTCAGTTTTCCCAGAGCCTGTGCCAAGGCGTGTCAGAGAATGATCCTGCTCCTCAAGGCAGAGCACTTTGTTGGAGGCCCAAACACAGTACAAATGCTATGACAGTGAGGAGCACTGCCCACTGCAAGGACATTAACTGTGCTAGTCTGCACGTTCCTAAAATACAGCTGTCACCATCTGAGAGGCAAAAGCCTGCCTGACCTCACTGCTAACAATCGTCGATGTAGATAGCCCATTCCAAGTTTTCATTTCTCCTTCTCACATCACCCTAAAAATTGCTGTCTTGAAACTACTAATGAAAAGCAGAGCTTTGCAAACTGCCCACCACAGACAGTCACACTTGCAGTCTTGTATATGCCCATGTTTTGCCTTTCTCTGCCTGTTGGAAGTTTTTCTTCATGACCACCATAAGGACAGACATCTCTACACACAGTGTGATTGTTTGCAAAGCACTGTCATTCATTTGTTTGTGGACATGCACATGCCCACGCGGTCTTGTCTACTTTCACCCTAGCCTCTGGGAGGTCAGTACCACCCCCATTTTCCCCAAGCAAACACTTGACACCACCAAGTTAGAAGCATCCTTACCTCTCACTCTCATCTGCAGCTTTTTCTGCCTCCTCCAGCTTCTGGAGGGCTGTGGCTAGACGTTCTTGAGCCCGGTCTAACTCCTCCTCAACTAGCTGGATGCGTCGATTGAGAGCTGCCACATCACCTTCGGCCTAAGGAGGTCAGAGGTGCAGCCAAATTAACAAATACCAAAACAGGGGCGGTGCCTGTAGCTCAAAGGAGTAGGGTGCCGACCCCATATGCCAGAGGTGGTGGGTTCAAACCCAGCCCTGGCCAAAAACTGCAAAAAAAAAAAAA